ACATTTGCACGTGCACCGCGTCGTCGTCGTCGTCGTCGTCGACGTCCACATCTTGTCGTCGTCGAATCCACGCTCGACTAAGCTGCGAGGCGAAAGAGACGCGAACACGTGCGATACGCGACAATGACAAAGGTCTCGAGGTTCCATGCGCATTTTCTCCCTTCTTTTCTTGTTCGATTTTCTACCCTCATTGCCACTATATTTCTTTTTCTTGTTAAAAAAAGAAGCATGAAAAGAAAGAAAATAAACTTCATTGCGTATTCTCTGACGATGATTTACGTGTAAAAGATTTATGTAATTTACACAACCGACCGAATCCACCCGATCGCAATCAGCCTATCCGATCCAATTGTAAATTTGGTTAGATGGATACCATCACCAGGCAGTATAAATGCAGCCAAAATATATCTTTTTTCCCCTCTTTTTCTCTTTCTCTCTATTGTTTTGATGACGAAATAATCGCGGAACGACGTGATACTATAATTAAATGGGTAGTCGATATCGTGCAGGTAGACACAATGTCCTTTGAAAAATATTTACTCGGGGTAAAACAGCACGCTTACCGGGTCGATGCAAATTTCATCTATTTTCTTTTTTTCAATTCCAATCGAATGTAACACGACAAACCGATCGCAGAGATCTTTTCGACATGTTGAGATAAACTTGCTAAATTACACGTATTTTTTTCCCTTTTTTCTAACAACATAATTATGAATTGTATACTTACAATTTTTCTCATATATTTTAAATACTTTTTCTCATATTCTAAAACTATAAACGAAATTAAATTAGTAATAAACTTCAAAAAGCTTTTGAAGTGTTTAAAGGCTTTAAAAAAACTTTTTTTTAAAGTCTATTACTAATTTAGTTTTGTTTAGAGTTGTAAAATATAAAAGTAACGTGAATATTTTAATTAATATAATGTATTGTATTTTGTTATAAATCTAACACACACGAGGGATCACACAATATTATATATATTGTCAATGTAAAATAATATAATTCATACTTGTTATCTTTTTTTATAATTTTTAAAGAATTTTTATTATTAATCTATTGTTGCGAAAAGAATTGCTAATTTCTAATTTTCGCAAATATAAGCATTAAAAAATATCTTTATTTGCGACTAAGTCTTTTTTCAATTACAACATGCATGTGAAAATATTCTATCAGATGAATTTCATCGGATAAGCTTCACATAAATGCACACACGAGGATCGCAGGGGCGATCATTCTTATACCATTTTTATCTCTTACTGGCAACAATTCGTCAACATTTTACACGCGGATTTCGCTATCACCGATATCGCAACCACGGCGCGGTCAATTTTGCGAGATCGCGCGGTGATACCTCGACCTCGACACATCGACGCGCGGCGCAACCTCCCTTTTTCAATTCAAACCCACACGACCACCTATCGGTGCAAAGAATGTTTAATATCAGATTTCATGCGGGATCGCGCGTCGAGAACGGACCTGTCGTCGTCGGAGGGGGTCGTCCTGCCCGTCATGAATGATGCCCGGCCAGCCATATCAAACGCGACGACGGCTTTGTTTCCGTCCGGCGTAAATCCCGCCGGGAATTCCGCGACGGAATACCGCACGCGCGAAGATTCCGAGCCTGCGAGCTCGGCGACGAAGCTCCTCCGGCGTGGTTTCCCTTCTTTCGGACCTCCTATCATCTCCGGCCGGTCTCCCTTCGCGCTCCCGCGCACGCTACGCTTGCCTCGGCTTGCCTCGTCTCGGAGAAACGATCACGCCAACGGCTCACAAAGCGCGCGTCGGGATTGCATCCGAAGAAATTTATATTCCTGCGCTGGATATTCCAGGACGACTCTCGCAGAAAATCCAGGGACGAGGCGAGTTACGCTTCCTCCTCGAGAGAGACGTTTCCCTCCACCCCTCGCGAAAATAAGTATGCATACGCCGCGTGCGTCGCGTTTTTCTTAAATTAGAATCTTGCCGCGACGCGAAGCGAACGTTCCTACGTTCCTGCAGGAAGTCTTTGCGGGTTATCGAAAGTATGTTTAATATAATAAAAATAATATTTGAACGATAACGCCGGGTATCCTGAAATTATGGTATCTGAAAAACGAATTTTAAATTTCTAAGGAATTAAGAAAACGGTAGTTCTTTTAATACAATGATATCTTCTAAAGTTATAGTGACTATAGCAAAAATATTTGAAACGGAAACTTCAATATTATAATATTATAATTTATAGCAAAATTTTATTCTTTTATTCGAACAGGTATTATTAGAATATTATTTTGATGTGTACAAAACTTACATATGTAAAAAATACCTAAAATACCTATAAAAAAAAAAAGAAAATTGAAAGATGAGAAAGCTGTAGCAATAATAGCTTTCCATCAAATTTTTATCAAATTGAAATCCATTCCAAGTTATATATATAAACCGTCAATAAAATGTATATCGATAGTTACGAGCTTATTAGTCGATTAAGTAAACAACTGAATTTAATTTCTCTTCGCATTCAGCGTGTATCGTCTGTCTGAAATTATTTGGTAAATGAATTGTTAGTTGTTACTAATTAAAAAGATGCCAATTACTGTTGTTTATAGGATATTAAATTATTTAATAGCTGAAATAATGTGCATCACGTCGCGGGGGAGTTACTAAAACTACCAGCGTTTACGATATGAATGTTTATTTGATTTACTAATATGCATAACGTCGACATAAAAATACACGCCGGTAGAATTCGCGATAATGACGAAGCGTTTAATTAATCAATTTAATTAACTGCACAATGTGTTCCTTGCAACACACGCAATTTACAAAGAACACATTGCGCGAAAAACTCTATGGGAAATAGCGGGGGTTAGAAGGATAATCCGACCCAATCTTGCAGAAATTGCATCAAAACGAAGTTATTTTACTGCACGTAAAACGGCGAAATAGAGTTTTCGTAGCGCGCTCCCGCGTAAAAAATTCGAGCAAGAACTTGCTGGAGAATTCCACATGCGAATGCTGCACAAAAAGGCTTCAACGGCAAACTAGGGAAGCTACGCCGCGAATCCGTGCACGTTGCTCCCGTGTGCGTAATTCTTTTTCGTTTCTTCGTTTCGTGTATGTTATTTCTTGTTCTTGTCGGCCGGGGCGAGTGAAATGCAACGACAGAAACGAGTGACACCGTATTCGTCGAAATGGAGGCACATTGTGACTGTGACGAAAATGGATTTTAAAAAATCGTCGGCGTATCGAGAAGTAATAATTCAGAGAATAGCAATAATTCAGGTAAAAAGTAATAATTCAGACTATACCACATTTGGATTAGACACGAGCTAGAGAGGATTATCTTTACGTTCGATGTTCAAATGTTAATCTTGCAAAATGAAACATCGAGACAGGCAAATGAACAAATGGAAAAGAACGCATGCTTTATGAGTGTGTGTGTGTGCATTGTCGATGCATCTTTCGCATGAAAAATAATCCTTATCTAACGCACCCGTCCACCCTCTCCTCATAATTATAGCAAGATGAAACATAATCCCCCTGCTACTGTGATGAGAGAACGGGAAAACGTATCGTATCGTTTTTCGTTAAAGCGCATTATTAAACACCATGAGAGTGACGCGTATAATTACGCTCCGAAAGAACAAACAGCGGAGGGGGTTTAATTACGCAATTTTTGCGCACAAAACAGCCCATCGACAAAAGCGTAATATAATATGTTTACACGTTGAAAGCTCCGCCGGTCTCTTTCATGCGATATCGCGATGATAATAAATGGGGAACGTTATCTCTCGCGCGCGTTTACGCGAGAGAAGTAAACCAAACGACCCTCGCCGTAACGAACCTCCGTGTATCCTCGCAGCGTCCTTAGTGAAGTCGTATGTCAAAGCGCATATAGGTTAATTACACGCTCTATATACGCTCTATACACACGCTCTCACGCACCTATATCTATCTCGCGCGCATACGTTTTGTAATCCTTAGTCCTCAAAGGCAGATCTTTGCGCTCACCTTATGCACGATTAGCTTAATCTCCGCGCGTATATTAGACGCACCCTTCTGTGAGGGTAGCTCCTTAATGCTCGCGCTATGTACCCAACGTTCAAGTCAGCGATATACCTATCCACTCTCGCGTTAAATGGTGAAAAACAAACTTTTCTAATAATATCTCTCAAAGACTTCCAGGATACGTTTTAATAACAATGGCAAACACGATACGTATAGTGATATAATAAACGTATAGTTACATTATATGATTATAACATAGAGAATATAATAATAGCAGAGATAATAGCTTTGAGCATAATGGCAGTTATTAATTACAATCGTACTGTCATAATAACCACGAATGATATCACAAAGCATTACAGTATATCAAATTTCACTGTTTACTGTCCTATCATCTATGACAATCCATGTTATTTAGCACGTATGGAAAATTTTTATAAAATCAAGAATTCAAATATAGAGTACAGCGGAATAATTTGGATAACAGTAAGCATTTGCAAGAATTTTGGAAAAATCTCTTATTTTTCTGAAATTCTTGCAAATGCTTACTGTTATCCAAATTACTCCACTTTCAAATTACCCCGCTGTATTCTACATACTTATATAAATATGTATTTTAAAAACTTGCGAATTTACATATATATATATATATATATATATATATACATACACAAGTATATAATGATATACACGGAAAGAATTTCCTTTTAAAATTTATCCTGAAAATCATGTTAATCATGGGACAACATAGTATTTTGACAAATTTTATATAATTTTCTGTTTTTTTTTACTTTGCACTACAATAAATTTGTTGTAGTATATATTTTTAACAATAGTGAAAATTACATAAAATTCGTCGAAAACTATGTTGTGTTATAGTTAACATAATTTTCAGGGTAAATTTTAAAATAAAATTCCGTATATATACATATATATAATTATATAGATATATGTAAATGTAATGTTTAAGGATCTTAAAGCGAACTAATACTTTTTTTGTTTCTCTTATTTAGACATAGCACACGGCAACTTCACGCCCGAGGAAGCTCCGACCACCGAATCACCTATTCAGAGTGACGTCTTCGTCGAGAAGAACGGCGCCGCCGAGGGCGAGCTACCAGTTTCGACGGCGAAACACGACGACCCCACGTACATGGCGATCGTGATCGGCGTGCTGACCGCCGTAATACTTTCACTCGCCGTTGCGATATTTCTGATTGTTTCGCGACACAGGCAACGCAAGTGCTTCGCCAGCCCTATGACCGGTAAAGCCCCTTCGCATTTAGGATCCACCTGCGCCACCGTCGAGAAAGGCGCGGCTCTGATGGCGTACACCTTGGAGGACGACGAAAGGTACAATCGATTGCTTGATGAAAAATAAAAAAAGATAATCGTAAAATAGGAAACGAAACTGCTAAAAACAATCTTGGACAATGTAAGAAAAATCCGGGATGTATATAATTTCTTCGATGCACTTTTACGTATATTAACATATATTAACAGAATTTTTCTTGTTAGATTAACGTACGCGAATGTTATTGAAGAATAAAATAAAATTGCATGATTTTTTTGATTTTTTATTATAAATAACCTTTAAGCAACGATATCTTTCGAATCTCAATTATATTTTAATTAGAATATGAAATGATATCTTGAATAACTTTAACAATAATTAAATTTATCAGTTATCGGTAGTAAAATCGAGCCAACTTTCAATGGTGGTTTAATATCTTTTACCGACATTCTCATTTATTGCGCGGCCGTGGACGTCTAGACAGCCGGATATAAGGCCATGCGAATATTCGCTTTTGCATCGCGAAGCGTGTTTAACGATAATACACGACCGCCGTACGAGGCCGTACTCCTCATTTCTTCCAAGTTTATGTCCACACAGAACACACGCTCAGATGACGGAAGCGGCCTTCCAATAAACTTTCCATCCACCATGCTCGTTAGCGAACGTCCAATAACGTCCAATAACGGACATCCTCGGGCAATATATCGAGTTTGTGCGGCACGAATGTCTCCAAAGGAGATTCTCCGGCCGCCTCGTAACTCCGAAGCATCCCGCACCAGTTTCGGCATCGATCCCCCCCCTCCTCCCCCCACCCTCACCCTCTTCCGAACTCCCTGTCCGCTTTGTGCAATCCGATATTGCAGTTGCGAGCTTCGTACCGAAAGAGAGAACGTGTAACGTGCAACTTCAAGTAGGCGTGCGAATGTTGCGCCGGGCCTTTGACGGACCGCGCGTTCCGCACACATAATACTAAAATTTTCGAGCGGAAAATATACTGCTCTTGAAAACCGAAGATCCGTACGGCCCGCAAAGTCAGAGTTATTTCAATGCATCTTGTATGTACACGAAAAAAGAAATGATACGTTGTATTAAACAGTATTAGCCAACAGCAATCTAAATTGAAAATAATCTTGTTCATTCAATATCAGTATTAATGGAAATAACAAGAGCACGATGCATCTGTCTGATTAGTTAACAAGATTATTTTCATTCAAACTGCGCTGCCGGCTAAATGTTGTTAATATATCTTTTTTTTTCCCCGCGTACAATTCTCTTGAAATGCGATGCGGATCATAATATCGCATTATTACGATTACGATTTAAAAGCTATTTATGTATTGTGCGCAGTTCGAGTGTAGAACTGTTAAACGGCCTATTGTAATTTGAATAAATAAGTGATAGGTAACAAATATCAGATTGCAAGTCCAAAAAGGGATGTATGTCGCGAAAAGGAATATACGTACAGCTTATTTCGCCGTGACTATCGTTTTCGTCGGAGAGCACGAATTATATAACAACAAGAAGAGTTTATATCGGCCATCACGATCTGATGATAAATGGAACGATCTCAGCTATTAATCGATTGCTTCTCTTTCAGATACGCGGGCGGTTCTCTGCCGACTCTGCCCCGCGACCTCGGAAATCGTCTCCTAGACATCGTGAAGTTGGACGACTACCAAGAGCCGTATCAGGCGCTAAAGTACGCGCCGTACTACAGCTACAGCACCGTCGTTATGGAGATGAAAGACATGATGCTGAACAACAAGGGCACCAACATCAATCACTCAGGTATGCGACGCTCGAACGCATCTACACCTATACGTCTGTACGGACGTCTACACCTACATCCATTCGCGACTACTCGCACACGCTCATGCAGACACCCGCATACACATACACGCATATGTACGCACTCCGCGTGCACACACTCGAACGCCGCGGCTCCTGTGCCAACGGCCGTGCACCTACATACAACGTCCCGGCAACAAAGCATTCGCCCTGACCGCAATCAATACGCCATCCCCTTCTGCGCTCGCTCCTCCTTTGCTATATCATCCGCAGCGGTGTACGCGAACGGTGCAGTTGACACGTCGTACGATTATGCGGTACCGGAACTCGGCACGGTGCCCCTGCTCAATCAGGATGCCGGCGCCGGCCGCGGGGCGACCGTCTCCAACGCCACCGGCGATCAGGACGGCTTCTTCTCCAAAAGTTCGCGGGCCACGAAGACCGAGGATAAGAAGGTAACAAATTCGCATTTCTTACAAGACCTTTACGTGTTTTATTCTACATTAGATTAATTGTATAGCATTAAGCTCGATAAGTCTAAATTTTGATATAAATTAGAATGCAACAGAAATAACTTCACAATCTTAAAATGAACAAAATGAAATCTTTTATTAATTCCAATGGTATCAATATTACTTGTAAGACTCTATAAATTTAATAACAATTCGGAAAAAAGGATTCCATCAAATATCAATTTTTAACACAAATCAAATTACTTATCTTTAGCTTTAGAAAACATTGTTAAAATCTTTCTTAGATCTTATATATTAATGTTATGTCTCTTTCATTTAGCATTTAACATTTAATTATATAATAATATAAAAGTTATCCAATAAAAATAGGCAGAGAAATCTTTAATTTAGTTGGCATGGTATATATACTATATATCGACGTATCATGGGTATCGCAAGGCAACGACGAGAATCCAAATCAGGAATCAAAAGGAAAAGCGATGGCATTAAAGTTTTAATGAATAATGCCGACCGATCTTAATGCGCGCTCTATAAGTAAAGAGTCGAGAAAAAATGCACACCGTTGTCGTACCATTAAACGTAACTTTCCACCGGTCAGAGATAAATTCGCAATTAATAATTTAAATCAATATGGTGGAACGAGAATGGAACGTTTGGGGCGGATATATCTCCCGTGGGTACAGTATAACGTAGCTCCAGAATGCCAGAGCGCAGTACGAGGGTGGAAAAGAGCGCAGAAAGCCCTCCGGACCGAGATCGAACACGCGAGACGATCCCCCGGGTTCTCCATCGACATAAAAAGAATCACGGGATCGCGGCCGAAGATCAATTTAAAAACGCGCGTGTAATCGGCATTGACGGATATTTTTTTCTATATTAACGGTACGGCGATACGGCTGGCTGCCCTTCATATATATAAGTACGGCTCTCTTCAAAATATCCGTTCGATTTTATGCACTTCTAACATACAGGAATAATTGTAAGTGTATCGTAATAAAATCAGATCTCGTGCAGTTGCGTACATGTCGATGATTTCTGAACGAAAACTACTCGACGATTGAAACTGTATTGATAACTTTGCATCAAAGTTTAGGTACTTCATGTTACGAGTCTTTAATAAAATTCCTTAAAATCACCTGTAATAATTTATAAATATTTTTATAAATAAATTACCTAATAATTTTCCATCTACACTGTTAAATCTATAGTGTCAAACTGAACCTTATTCAACCTTATTCACCACTGTTCCTACTTAATAAATAGTTATTTTTTACTAAAACAATGGAGTTAAATAATTTAAAACAGTTCAAATTTTACCCAAATTTATGTTAAATTCCATTGTTTTATTTAAAAATAACTACATGACTGACATAACTACATGACATGACTCCCAAAAGTAATGAGATTTTTGGTGTCCCAATCCTATGTTAATTAAAAATAACTATTTATTAAGTAGAAGCAGTGGCGACTTAAATAAGTCTTCAATTTGACATAGATTTAACAGTATAGATTCTGTGATAAAAAAATGTAAACAAATATTTAGATAATTATTTACATCCTCGAGGTTAAACATGTTGAAATCTTTCTTATTATACTGTTTGATAATTATCTGTAGCTTTGAATTATCGTTATGTCTATCACTTTTAGCATCCGTGATTAATACATTAAAATAATTGTTTTGTCATGTATCGTCAGCAACTACGACTGTAACTTCTACCGCGTGGCGCAACGGAAATAATTAACGCTGCAATCTCCGCGATTGAACCCCGCGAAATATTATCCCTGTGACAGGAATGACGCAACTTCGGAAAAGGATAATTGGAACGAATCGCCAAGCGAGCGACGGGCGCCAAAATAGCCGGTGTGTGACAGCCGCTCTGCTTAGACAATAAATCGCTATCGCGGCTCGTCCCACATGCCGCCGGAAATGGAGCCGGAGACCGGCGGCATAGTCCAACGTTGTTCGCGAAATCGATCGATTGATCGCCGTCGTCGTCGCTCGGCCTGTAAACGAACTCCCGTCGACAGAACACGTCGACAGGGGTCCTCTCGCGGATACGCCCGCTGCTGCAACCCTCATGGAATGTATCATCATTACGCGGTCCAGCGGCTTTCCGTTCAGTCCGCTCCGTTAATTGCGGAGAGAAAGCGCGTCGTGTAATCACGTTTCCAACCGCCCCGCCTCCAACGGCGGGACCCATCCAGCCAACATCGCGAAAATATCACACGATAGGGGTTGATTTCACGGCCAACCATCCCGGTATCGAGTGCTTGGCGAGAGCACACGGCCCGTACATAGATATGAAATTTTATGACACAGGTAATCTCTTGTTTTCAAGAGCTACATGACGCCCGATACATCTTGAATTGGCAAAATAACACACATGCAGAGAAGACACATGTTACAGATGAATTATTTTTGCACTGGGAAAAAATGGCTGATTTTGAATTATATGTATATTTTAGGAATGACATTGAACAGGACTATCTGTCTATTAAGGAATCAATATTCTCACGAAAACAAATTTCAAGTAAAATATATCTCGCACATATTTCTCGATGAAAATAATCGAGCTTTGAAATATCGTGACAATTTTTTTTACAAATTTTGTTATACGAATGCAAGAGATGATCGTTAATCATACGATGGACAAAGTGTCTGTATCTTTTTTTTCCTGTATAATATTCCGCTTTAGATTGGGATTCTACGCGTCCATGTCAGGAGGCATAAGGGAGAATACTTGATAAGCATTTGCCGCCCCGTTCCCTCGATCGATTCCCTCGAAGCCATGAATGCGAACAGCTTCTTCACTGTCGAGTGAGTCCTTTCTCTGCGTCGGGATACGCGTGTGTCCCGCGGATAGACACATCTGGTATATCGCGCTTTGCGTATACGGTTTCCGCGGCGTGAATCGAGATTGATCCGGGCACAATGCTCGGGACGGGACGCTCCAGATCCGAAAGTGCCCGTGTCTACGTCGAGACGTCTGCGCGTGATTGACACCCGACAGCGCCACTCGAAACAGTCAAAACATTTCACCCCGTGTCGCGTCGGGTCTGGCCTTGACGCTTCGTAGCAATGCCAATCATCCTTCTCAGCGGATTCACTGTTATCCGTAAAACGGGGATTACTCGGCGAATACTCGGCGCGTTCGACAATATTTCTTTTCATGTCACTCTCACTTATGAGAACGTCAGGTTTCAGGAACGACTTCCGCGATCAGTTACGGTATCCTCGATTGAAAATAGATGATCGCACATTATTATTGACCGCGCACACGAATGCATTCATTTTCGTGCAATAATTCGTAATCAATGGATATATTTATGTATCGTCATCTCACATTTATGAATCTCCTAATATATACTTCGATCCTTCGAACAATTCACAAGATTTCTATGCCATTCTCCTTTATACGAAAACATTATTGCAATGTTTCTAATTATTCATGTATCTCACTCAAAATATCCCACGATCCAAAGTAGGAAAGTACATCGATAAGAGTAGCGCGAGATGTATCACATCTTATCTATAGCATTCTGCGAGTCGACTTTTACCAATCGACTATAGGATACTCCACGACCAATAGAACACTTGTAAGTTGTGATACAGTTCCGCGTCTTCTCTCGTGCACTCGATAATCCGCAGACGTGAACGCGAGGATCAAAGGGGGGTAAGCCGTTTGTCGAATGACGGCCGTAGATCCTGCGATACCCACGATGCGCCCCGCCGGCGCGACTAGCGTGATCATAGATCGTTGATTATCGTCGGATAGCCCGCACAATGTATTTGCGCTTTCGTGTTGCAGTCGCCGACTCAACAGGAGGTACTCTCGGCCCTGAAGAGACGTCTGGAGCAGACCAGCGTACCGCTCTTCCCACGGCATCGCCTTCGCATGCTCTCCAAGCTCGCCGAAGGCGCCTTCGGAACGGTAATGACATTGTTATTTCATCCGCGAATAATAAGTATATATACTTCCAATTAGATACGGGCACTGGATAAAACGACGAATCATTCGTCGGCGATCTTGACGCTATCCGTTACGCTAATCAATCGAACTTAGGGTGGCTCTTTAGTAAAATGCTGAAAATTTGGGATGTCTCACCAGAGCTCACCAAAATCATAAATATGTATTTGCATAATTTGGATGAAATATTAAAACTACGTGTATATCTAATGAAATAATATGAAACCAACGATATTTAGTATGCAAAAGTGATAAATAAAATCACTAAAAAGAAATTAAACTGACAAGCCGTTTGAGATTATGTGATATTTTTCCATTTCAACATTAAATATCTTTTCAGAATGGTCGGTGATCTATTACTTTTTTGTGACCATTAAAATCGTAATTTTTTAAACTATTATAATCTCGTTTTTTTAGAAAATTCTGTCGTCTCGTTTGTGTGCAGTTAGTCAAAAAAACGATCCTAATATATCGCTACGTAGGGTACAGCGGGGTAATTTGGATAACAGGAAGAATTTGCAAAAATTTCAGAAAAATAAGAGATTTTAAGATACATTTCATTAAATCAATGTCTGAAATGATTTTTCTGAAATTCTTGCAGATGTTATCCAAATTACCCTGCTGTACTCTAATATACGTGAAAAGTTACATTTTCAACATTTTTTTTCTCTCTTATTTCATCGGTGACCTACTCTAGAATTTTGCACGTCAAATTCGGTACTTCAACTTCATTATATAAAAAAATTAGACATTTCTGTTGTAATTCGATTTACTAAAGAACCACCTTAATACCGATATCTCAACTTCGGGAACTTGCCATAATGGTTTAGCAATTACTTTTGCATTTACTGTAAATTACTTGTATGCTCTACTGTTCTCATTTTAAGTGACACAGAGTTACTAAAGTTGATGTAACGTTAAAAAATGTGTTACGCCGTTACAACAATTAATTTATCAGCGTTATCCGTTGCCGCGAAAATGTAAGTTCGCACTGAATTTCCCGCGTGAATTTACACGATGTGTCGTAACTCCTCCGGCACAGCGACGATCGCGAAATCAATCCGTTTGTTGGCCGCGCGGCCCCGCGCGCGCACGGGCAATTCAAACGTGCGCAGGATGCGCAACAATACGTCGATTAATGAAGTGCCCGGGACGCGTTATTCTTCGCCGGCACAATGGCGCCTCGTCGGGGTCGTCGAGGATAATCAGTTTAGGATGCGTTAGAGCGGCTAATAATTCCCTTTTGTTTCCCGCCCCATGTACCGACGACGCGCGCGTCGTTAATGACGACGGGCGAGGAGGAGGAGGAGGAGGATCGCCGAAACGTTCGCTCGTTCGTTTCGCACAGTTCGCCAGTTGCCGCGTCAGGCTTCCGTGGACGCGGATGCATTCGCATGCAGATCGCGATCGCGCGAGACTTGCCACGAGATCGGACACGTCGTGTTGCGAAATCCGTCGGTCTTCGTGCGATGATTGTCGGAAGATCGTCGATTCTCTTACGCGGAAATCGCAGAAGGGTACAATCGCATTGTATCATCATGCGCTACGTCTGATGATTGATTATCCTTTATTTCCGTTTTAGACCTCTGTATAGGCTACGATTATTAAGGATTATTAAGGCTCGGAAAGTTTTCTGAATATACATTACCAACTAATGAAAAGTATATATTCTTTTAATTCGTATCTGCATTGTAAAGAAGGATAAAAATTCAGAGCAGACCATTCATAGAGCTATATAATAAGAGTAAATTGTGTGAATTTCTTTTGGTTTGTACTTAATTAAATTTTATTGCGTCGCGCGAAAAAATTCTATTTTTCTTTAAGAATAATATGCCAATTGTAAAATTAAAAACTGCAAAGAGAACATTTAAAAAATAGTTTATCTTAAATATTGTTTAATAAATTTTTAAAAATGTTACAAATTTTTCTAAAAAGTTTTTTCTCTTAAGTATATTTATTAAATTTTCTCGATATTGTACGTTATCGCTTTTGATATTGAACGAAAAATTTCTTCTGGTAAAATTTGTTTCGCTACATGAAAAGCCAAGTAAAAATTATTGACCTTGCAAAATTGTTATTATTATGTATATATGCGAACAAAACACGATGTAAATGATAAAAAAGTTAGCAAAAAGTCGGCTTATGCAAAATCACGTACGAGATTTGTCATGCAGGTCATGCAAAATTTCGGTTGCTTCTGTCAAATTTATCCTGATCATGAGTAGTCTCTATGCATAACGCAATTCAAACAAATTATGCATATAAAGGTATACGTGGCGGAAGCTGAAGGGATTCCGGAATACGGGATGACGACTACCCTCGGCAAGCGACTCGTCGCCGTCAAGTTTTTACTGCCAGAAACCAGTGAGAAGGAAAAGTGAGTATACACATGTCCATATGAAAGCCACAATTTGCATTCTGTTTCGTTACGGTAACGCTCGATTGAACGAGTCATGCCGTTCCTCTAGCCCGTTTCCTCCGCGTGTACACTTTTACATCTACGTGAAGACGCGTTGATATCCGGTTGCATTCACGATTTTTACAATGTTTCATATCGATTGACAGATTGTGAGCTACCTTTTGGAAAAAATATAGAATCGATAATTGATGTCATTGGCGTTAAGAAAATCCTATTCGTAGATGCATCAGACAAATTAATCACAAAATGCCACATATGAAGAAGCTGTACATTCAGATCTAATAAACATTTTATGCGTTAATATATGTAATACACATTCGAAATGTGTCTAGAAAATTATTTCGGTCATTGCATGCGCGTTAGTTGGAAGTATAGGATCTCGTTTTCAGCTCGATTTCCCATGCAGTATCGAAATTTAGCATAAGAAAAGGAAATATTTTCCGTGAGATGATACTATGCGCGGAGATCCGCGCATAATGGCATATAAGCGCGTCCAAAAATGCGATGGCGGAAGTTAAGAGGGCAGCAGGCTTAAATTATGCGAGAGAGACCGTTCTCTCTCGTGGCAACAGCACGCGATACATCGAATTCGGAGGTAGAGAACGAGGTCCCCTTCGTCCGTCCGACCCGTCCGTGTTCTCCGGCCGAATGCATGCGACGACCCGCGCGTCGCGGCGCGACCGACGTCCGCCGAGGAAGCCCCGCGGCGGCGAAACGTCCGGATATACCGTTCCCGGACGATCGTTCTCGCGGCTATCGCGTCAGACATCAGAAAAAGGCCAGTTCGATTCCACGAATGGAACGGATTTGCATACAATGACCGGGAGATAGGGTATCGGGCCGACTTTGGCGCGCACTATACGGGCCGAACGCGCACTGTGCAGCGCGGAACGGAGAGAGCGGGATATACCTCGCGTAGCGGAGATGACAAAGCTTCCCACCGACGAACATCGACGGCCCTCCCCTCATTGGATACCGCACGGGACCCATCGCGCCCTGGCACAGACTCTGGGCTCTGACTCGGAGCCAAAGAGAAATTTCGTCGACTCCGTCCGCGGAGCAATCTGTCGGACGTCTCAGACGATGCGAGGGAGAATAGAGAGCAATTTGGCTGATTTAGCGTGCACGAGTGTACCTACTTGCGCGCGAGGAGTTTCGCTGCATATTGCAATTCTCCAACAGTGCCCGGCACGGTACATCACGTTGTGTGCGAAGTGATTGCACAAGCGTCTTACGAAAGTGATTAATTTATTGTTAACCATTATCTCAATTTATCTTATCTATTATCTCAATATATCTTATCGATGTTCCGCTACCAGGAGAATCAATTTTAGTCGATCCATATTTGTTAAACCTTTATAAAAATATCACGCGAGAGCTACTGATATTTAAACGTTTGAGTTTAAGGATGTCTAGCTATACAGTCACAGACAAAAGTTACTGAAATATGAAATTGATATAATTCTATGCTTTTATAGATATACACCATATCGTGCTCGTATCGTGTAAAGGATAAAATAATGCCTGCAGTTAATATGATATTTGGCACTACAAATGAATATATTTGTATATTTTACAAATCTATTCATTTGTAATGCCAAATATCATATTAACTGGCATTATTTAAGTGATCCTTCCCAAGTAACGATTACGAGAAGATCAAGATGAAGTCATCTTGACTAACAATAAGATTTGACGAAATTTTTCATCAAAATTCAGTCAAAGATCGGAAGAGCACACG